TGTTGCTGATGTGATGATTGATGGTGATTATATTGTTGGTTTAGTGGTTATAATGATGCATTAGTGGTGGGTAATTAGTAGAAACTTCGTTGGGTGTAAGAAGCAAAAACTTCCGATTTTGCCCCTGCCATGTTCGGCCATTTCCAGGCCAATTTTTAATGGTTTAATGGCTTGAATTAGATGTTTATAGGATGTATTAGATGTGTGAAAAATTTCATTGGAAAATATTGAGGTTTGATTGAGCAAATGAATTTTGCTTGAGAAACTAGCAATCTGGAAAACTGTTCGCGTATGATTCTGACCAGTGGTAGTATTTTGGCTATAACTCTGTCCTCGGATGTCGAAATCATGTGCCGTTGGTGGCGTTGGAAACTAGAAATTCCTGGCTTTAATTTGGTATATAATGCACGTTCTGATTCTTTGTGAGCAAGCCGAACCAAATGTTTTAAGTTCGCTGTCCTGTTGCTCTGTTCATCTGGAATGAAGTGTTCAGGCAGCAACTTGATGCCCGATTTTGAACCAGATTGGTGCCGAATTTGGAAATGATTTCTTCTGTGATATTTTACCCCCTATGAACGTATTTTCCAACGGCGTAAGCCATGCTCTATTTTGAGTTAAATTGACTGAGTTGTGACTGAAACAAGTGGACTGCTCTGTTTTGGAAAAACCCTAATGTTGGACTGGTTTGGAACAAGATATTGGAGTGAACTTGTTAATTGATGTTCTTGATACTAAACACTTACCAAAGGCATTATGGATGTTTCTTAGGCCTTTATTTCACAAATGAACCATGATTGTATAGTTTGCTTGATTAGACGTTTTGAATTGGGTAATGAAAGTCTCAAGGCAGATTGCCTTATAATTTTCCTGAACTTTGGTTGACTAATTAACTATCTTACCGAAAGTATTTTTCCCTGAAATTTGATAGAGTGGTACCTTTCATATGGGAGTAAAATACTGCCAATTTTGGTACCAATCCAAGTTCGTTTCGATACCCAATTAAATTTCTAGTGTTGGAGGTTCAAAACTGGAAATTCTTCTTCAGTCTTGAATCTTCCTCAACTTGGGGCTACTATATCTTGGTGCTCGAAACTCCGTTTCTCAATCTGCTTGTTTTGTTATACTCTTGGATTGCAACACTATTTGATTTCCAAATTTCAAAGGTTAGTTCAAAACAAGTGAATTTTACTGAATTTCCAAAATTGGCCAAAAACCAACCTTGAAACTGTCTTAGTATTCTACAGCAGTAACTTTGATCCAACTTTTGAATACCTTCCATTTCGAATCATGGAAAAGTGTCTTCTAGAAACTTGTAGTACTCGGAATGTAGTTTCCAATGGTATCAAGCTTTCCAATTTTGGACCTACGTAGTGCAAGATACGATTTTTCTAGAATTGACACCCAAAGCTAAAATTTGACAATTTCTTAGAAATGAGATTTTGGAAACTTGCCTTCTTTTCTCGATACCGATTGAACATTTTGAACTCGATTTCATGAAAAATGTTAGTCTCTTTCTTTAGACTTTAAAACTTTACTCTTGAGCCTCGATTATTAATAATTAAGGCCCAATTCATGAATTCCCTTTAGATTGTACAACCTTCTTTGATAAGTAGGAGTTCTAAGTGATAGTGTATAATAGTTAATGGTTATTTGCTCAGGCGCTCAAGGGGACCTTCAAGAAGAACTCGAAGTGGACGCCTAGACACTTGTTTGAGTATTACTCTCTTGTTGCTATAGGTGAGTGTTCCATATAGGAATACGTAATTGGAATAAGTCTATGACATGCATAACCCATGATTATTAAGTGTTAAGTGCTATATGTTAAGTATTTACCACACTCATGCATATCTGAATAAGGTATACTTGAATTACTTGACATGAAATACCTGAAATATGTATATTTGAACTATTCGATATGAAATGCTTAAAGAGCATATTTATGTGATTACTTGAAATACTAGATATGAAATGTTTGGAGAGCATATCTACATGATGTGTTTAAATGATTAATTATGCTATGACAGCATAAGTCGGTTGGAGTGAATCTCCTCGACCCTTATGTGGAAAAAGTGAAAATCGGCCAATGGTGGCCTATTAAAATGACATATGTCTGCCAATTAACCGTAATTACCACCGTTTACCGTTTACCGTGTTTACTTACCGTTTTCTAATCCATTCGGCTACTTGCTTACTTGATTATCTGCTTACGTGATCACCAACTTACTTGATCACTTGATTATCATGAATCGCATGTTATATGAAGTTGTCCATCATTGTTAGGCGAGTGTATACTTTACCTCACTCGACCTACTCAAATGATGAATTTTACCTTTTGCCGAATTACTTGATTACTTGTGCATGTTGTAAGCTCTAAGCTGAACTTGGGCCCTGCCTCGGTTACTGACCTACTCGAGCCAGGACTGGGCTCGGTCGGGTAGGTTGGAACCCTGGACAACCGTTTCGGTATACTCGAGTATTACCACTGGAGGGATAAGGTGATGGCCAGTCAAACCGAGGGGATCCGGAAGTCATAAGGTGCAGATGACCGACAGAGTTCCACTGGAACTCCGTATCCTTCAATGTGTGTTTATTTTACATAATGATAACCGTTTTATGAAAACGTGCCATACCTATGATATGCTCAAATTACCTGTACAATGATTATTGCCTCATGATAACATGCCATTGTGTAACCTTGAACCATGCGTATGATATGCCCAACTTATTTGATTTATTTGAACTGTTAGAGTGTCTTGGAACCTCACTGGGCTGTGTAGCTCATACCACGTTGTGGATTTCTTTTACAGGGTTCGAGACCAAGGGTGCTCGTGAGTAGTACTAGATTGTTTTCTTTTGAAGACTTTAAGTTATATTATAACGGATGGCTATAGTACCCCTTTTCCATTGGGTTGTATTTAAGCTTGACAGCTGCATAATTGTAAGTGTGAGATATTCGAAGTACTTTAATTATGTATTGAGGTTACTTAAAGTATTTCGAGCTTTTGAATGATCGATTGTAGTGAGTCCCGGCGAAAGCTGGGCAGGCGTCCCGCGGATACCCTTTGGTTCGCCTTAGGGAGAAGTGGGGGCGTCACAATTTTGGCTTCACCCAGATCTTTCATATCAAAATTAGAAAACAAAAATATTTAGTACTATTTACAATACTTAGACTGGTACCAAATATAAGCATGTCATCTACATACAAACTGATTATCATATATTGATCATTCATAACTTTGACATATACACATTTATCCACTTCTACAGATGAGAATCCATCTTTCATCAATACTTGATCAAATTTCTCATGCCACTGTTTAGGAGCTTGTTTTAGGCCATAAAGAGATTTAATTAGTTTACAAACCTTATTTTCTTGTCCAGATACAATACATCCCTCAGGTTAAAACATATAAATTTCTTCTTCTAAATCACCATTTAAAAAGGCTGTTTTGACATCCATTTGATGAATAATAAGTTTATGGATAGAAGCTAAAGCAAATAAAACTCGAATAGACGCAATTCTTGTTACTGGTGCAAATGTATCAAAATAGTCAATATTTTATTTTTGAGAAAATCCTTTTGCTACTAAACGAGTTTTGTACTTTTCTATAGAGCCATCAGAGTTATATTTTCTTTTAAAAATCCATTTGCAACCAATAGGTTTTGCACCAGGAGGTAAGTCCACCAAACTCCAAGTTTTATTTGACAAGATAGAATCAATTTCAGAATTAATTGCTTCTTTCCAAAATTTACAATCAGGGGAAGAAATGGCATCGGAGTATGTTAAAGGATCATTATCAACAAGAAAAGTTTGAAAATCATTTCCATAAGAAAATTCTTTTCTTGGACTTTTACTCCTTCTTAATTCCTCATTCAGAATTATTTTTCTATTTATTTCAATAGGTGCATGAGAAATTTTACTAGACAATGGAAAAATATGTTCAAAGAATTCAGCATTCTTTGTCTCAATAATTGTATTACAATCAAGTACATCACTTTTTAAAACAAGAAATCTATATGCAGCACTATGTTCAGCATATCCAATATACATACAATCAGAAGTTTTACAACCTAATTTTCTTTTCTTAGGTTCAGGCAACAATACTTTAACAAAACATCCCCATACTTTTAAATATTTCAAATTTGGTTTATAACTTTTCCATAACTCATAAGGAGTTTTGCTAGTTTTCTTATGAGATATCCTATTTTGTAAGTGACATGCAGATAAAATAACTTCTCCCCATAAATTATCAGAAGCATGAGAGCTAACTAACATAGAATTCATCATTTCTTTTAATGTTCTATTTTTTCTTTCAGCTACCCCATTAGATTCTGGTGAGTATGGTGGAGTTATTTCGTGTAAAATGCCTTCACGTTCACAGAAATTATCCTCCTCTATCCGATCTAATTCTTTTTATCCTTTTATTAAGTTGATTTTCTACTTCAGTCTTGTAAGATAAAAAAGCATTATGAGTATCATCTTTATTTCTAAGTAGATAAAGCTTAGTGTATCTAGAGTAATCATCTATAAAGGTAACATAATATTTTTTCCCACCTCTAGTCATAGTTTGTTTTAAGTCACCTAAATCTGTATGAATTAAACTTAACAGTTCAGTTTTTCTTTGGACAGATATACAACTTCTCTTTGTTAATTTTGTTTCTGTACATATCTCACATTTATCCATTTTATCATTAACACCAGAAATCAGGCCACAAGATTGCATTTTCTTTATATAACTCATATTAACATATCCTAATTTTGCATGCCATAAAGAAATTGAATCGATAATATAAGCATAAGAAGCATTCTCATTGATCACATTGGAAATGTTAAGTACAAATAGTCCCTGATTACAATAGCCCTTGCCCACAAATACATTATTTTTGGTCATTATAATCTTTTCAGATTCAAATGACACTTTCACTCCAACTTTTCCTAACAATGCTACGGAAACCAGATTTGCCCGAATGTTGGGCACATGCAGTACATCATTGAGAGTCTAAGTTTTTCCTGAAGTGAGTTTCAAGAATACTTTGCCCTTACCCAGAACATTAGCAGTTCGTGAGTCACCAAGGTAGACTACTTCCTCATTATCCCCTATTGGAGTATAGGAGGAAAATGCTTCTCGATTTGCACATATGTGCCGAGTAGCCCCAGAGTCTACCACCCACTTTTTGACATTGGCTGCAATGTTCATTTGAGAGATGACAGCAGCAATTATATCATCTCCTTCGTTTAAGTGCACCTTAGGAGGATTACCATTTGCTTTGTCACCTTCATTAAGTCTGCATTGGACAGTATAATGTCCTGGTTTTCCACAATGAAAGCAATTGCCTTTCTTCTTCTTAAAGTTGGGATTGTTAGGCTTGAAATTAAAATTTTTGGGCTTGTAATTCTGGGATTTATTGGCGTACCTTTTATTATTGCTTTGCACCAGATTGGCTTTGTAAGCCATCTCCTTTGCCTTGGTAGCTCTCAACTCCCTTTTGTTTGAATTCTCAATGAGAATGTGTTTCACGAGCTCATCCATGGTATAATTTTTCTCCTTGTGTTTCAAGTTGTTTTTATAGTCGGCCCATGACTCCGGTAGCTTTTCAATCAGCATGCCTGCAGCGAATTTCTCAGGTAGATTGATGTCTTCATTTTTCAAGTCCTCTAGCAGCATTTGATACTCGGTGCTTTGAATTTTCATCTCCTTGTCATCAGTCATTTGCCATTGGTTGTATTTTTCAACGACGAATTTTTGCTTGGTTGCATCTTCGGCAGTAAACTTTGTTACCAAGGCTTCCCAAATTGCCTTGGCTTTTTAGCTGCTACAGTAGACATCAAATAATTCATTAGAGAGTATTTGAAGGATAGTGTGTCGGCATACCTTGTTGGCGTATTGCCATGATTCTTGAGTCTTGGCATCCGCAGTTGCAGAAGGTCGAGATTCAGTGAGCGCATAAGCTACTCCATGGATGTCAAGTAGAGAGTGCACACGTTCTTTCCATCTTTTAAAATTTTCATTGGCGAAAATTTCGATTTTGGATACATCTGGAAAGGGCTTGGCGAACGGTAGTGCCACTGTAACAGTTGCTGATGAAGGCTGTGGGGCGCTAAAATTGTCAGATGCCATAGTTTCTTAGATTGTTGTCAAAGTGGCAAATAACAACGTTAGCAATTATAATTTAGATTGCTTGAGTCGTGCTAAATAGCACTGTCCTAAGAAACTATTTCAGGGTATTGAAATGTTTCCCCAAGATTAAACAAGCCTTCCTCTTGTCGTCTGGCAAGAAGGATTAGAACCAGCAAATCTTTTAAAACCAGCAGTAGAAGAAGAAAAGAAAAAGAATAAAGAGATGAGATGGGGTGGAGAAATATTGGAAGTCTAGTGTTCCGTCTGTCACACTGGCCTTGGTAGTGCTTGGTATTTATAGGCTTGAGAAGTGTACGTTAGATGCAGGGAAATTTTAAAACGTGCTTGGGTTTGGAGATAAGATATGATTTTCCACTAACAAAGGAATCTGCTGGAGTCTTGCAAAAAATTAGGAAACGTGGAAAAAGTTGATAGCCACAGAGAAGACTCTCAATCAAGTCTTCTGATGTTGCTAACAGCTAATAGGATATCTATTGGCTTTATCCCTTGAAGCTTGCAACGGAAATAAGAAAACTCATGAAACCAATCAGGAGATAACTTTTGAAGGAGTCAAACTTCTAACCAACCAATAATTCGTTTGATGAAAATCTGATTCACTTTACTATGCACATAGAACAAAGAAAACGTGAAAAAATTCTTTTGAAATATTATTTACAACACCCTTTGCCACCTCACCCCTTTATCTCTATCAAGATTTTTCTAGAAGAAATGCCATTTAATGGCTCAAAATTTTGAGAAAAAATCAGCCTTCATCCCCACCTTTGAGGTGAGGGTTTTGGGATTTTTTGTGCCTATAAAAGGCTCATAAACGCGGCCAAGACAGAAGGAGAATAGAGGGAGGTGATGGAAGAGTAGACAGAGAAAGAAAAACAGAGAGAAAACAGAGGAAACAGGGGAAAAAAAGAGGAAAGAAAAGAAAAATCTTTCTGCAAAAATTTATTTTTGACCAAGGCTGACCTTTCAGCCATGTTTCGACCTTGATTTCTCTCTCAATATAGCTTATTTTGAGAATATTTCAATTTCTGAACACTCTCTGAAGTCAAGGGAACAACCTTCTTTCAGAAATCTATTGCCAAAAACGACTAGGAGTCCCTCGAATTTGGCCCCAAATTCGCTGTTCCAATATACCTGGCTCCTTCCGCAAACTCGCTTGGAACTTCATCAACTCGCTCCATCTGTGTTCTGCTCGTTTAAATCCAGACCTAAAAGGCTTCATTAGGTATACCTCTGACCTCTCCTACCTTGGTTCGACTTTCATGCAAGGAATTCAAAGTTGTTCATGAGAGTTTGTGTTTAAGGGACTTAGATCTCACATTTCCTCATGATTATGTGATTTTTGGATTGTTTTAATGTTTGTTTAAGTTCAAAATGACGTAAGCTTCATGTTTATGTAAAAATCCGGGGTTAAAAGGTTGAGAAACGCAATTCCGGTGAAACTCCGGCCAAGTTGGCCGGAAATTTTCCAGTTTCTGGCTGGTTGACCGGCCGGAAACTTCATACCCGCCGGAAGTTCTTGATATTTTCTCTTCTATGTTTGTTCCAATTATTTTCGTTTTGTCCTATTATGTTTGATCCATTTGGGTTGGTTAATATTAAAAGAAACATGTTTTTGGGTTAAATAATTGGGCTAAGAAGCTTATTTTATGCTGGGTTCATATGTTGGCTTGAGGGGATAGAGCCTCTATATTTTAGTTGGGTTTGCTTGGATAAAATAATAGGCTGGCCCGTATGTTTCTCATTGGATTTTTGTTGGATTTTGGAGGTATTGGCCCAACCGAAATAAGGAAATTGATTGAATGATAGCCCCAAACCATTTTATGGTCAAACCAGATCTAGAAATTACGACTCAACCCTCAAACTTTTGAGTTATTTTATTGTGGCCCTAAAACTTTAGTTTTCTTTCATTAGGTCCCTAATTTAATTTCATTTTGGTCCCTAAACTTTATTTTTCTTTTATTTTTGACCCCTATTTTCGTAATAATTATAATTTGGCCCCATAAACTTTCTTAAGTTTTGCAATTAGAGCCCTAATAGTTTTGATTTCTTAAATACAAATTGTTTATCTTCTTTAATTGTTAATTATACTTCATTTAAGTGCTTTAATTGGTAGATTGCATGATTATTTCCATTTCTTTATAATTAAATTGATGTCTTGATTATTTTGTTGATTTTGGAGTATAATTAGGGTAAATTTCACCCATTTAACCACAACTTTAAGAGAGGTAACTCTTTTATTATTTTAAATTCTTTTATGTGCTCCAACGTGTTTTATGTACAATTGCATGTTTTGAGTGTTTTTCTTTTATTTTTTTATTCATTTTAAGTTTCGTTTATTTAATTTTTGGCGATTATTTGAGAGGCATTAAAATGCCGAATTGTAATAGATAAATGCTCAAGACATGTATTTAACTAGTCTATGTAACAGATAGGTTTTAATTTTTGCTAAAAATATATTTAGTTAGATAAATATAATAGTTAGGTTATTATTATTTTAATTTCTCCCTTAGATTGTAGTTAGGGTCTTGAATGTAATAGTTATGCTTTTATTTGCATCTATTTGTTTGTGTGCTTGCATGCTTGTGTGTTTACGTGTTTGTTCGCTTTCACTAGGATTTTGCATCTAGAAATTATGCCTATGTGTTATATGTTATATGTGCATTATGTGTTTACTTGCTTTTATTATACTTTGTATGATTTATTTAGTTATAATAAATGCATGACGTCACCACACTAGTCCAACGCTAGTTGTGGCATTTCTCCCCGATTTCTCACTAGTCCAACGCTAGCGAAGACTTGTAGAAATAGGTTAGTCCAAAACTAGACCCTTTAAGCCATTTTCGTGCTAGATTCACATTCTTTGAGTGACATTCATCACATCTCATACATGTTTTTCATTTTTAGGGTCTTTTTCTCATCTTGCATGATATTTTCTTTATGTATTATCTCCCTTATCCCTATGTGCATGAAACATGACATTTAGATTTGCATCTCATTTAGGAAATTAGAAATAGATTAGTTCATTTGCTTGACTAGATTAGGAGAGTCACCCTTCAAAAATGGGAAATGGACGAGTATGGTTTCTTAACTTTAGCACGCTCATATCACCTCTATAGAAAAGAAAATTGAGTCACGAATCTAGATTCTCCATACCCATTATGTTGCATTCCTCTCCTTTAGGTCACGTATATTTATATATTATGATTCTTCCTTTTCTTCGAGTCTCATCTTTGCATATTCGTTACCTCTTCTAAGAATAATTTTGGTCTATAATTATAATTTTGGACATCACAATTAATGTGATTAGCACCAATTAAACTTTGAAGAGATATTTCGACCCTCTCGATATTCTTTAGGTCTAGATTTGCATCCATATAGTAACATCCAAAATGTGATAAGTTTTATAGGTTAAATTAAGAAAATTTTCGACTAAATCTCGTAACAAATTTTGGTTAGGTTGAAAGAGTGTCTTGGGTTTGATTCTATCAAATCTTTGTCTTCCCTTTTTTCAACTGTAACTCCCGAACTCCTCTGTATTTTTTCAATTGTACCTAAGATATAAACTAATTAAGTACACCTATATTATGTACTTCTCTGTATTTTTTTTTTAAAATTATGTTGACTTGTTTCGTTTGCACTATATATGAAATTTGCAAAAGTTGTACCGGTTTTTTCCTTTAATATGGCTCATTCTTTTTATCCTTTTCCAAATATTACTTCGGAAAATTATATTCGAAGAAACAACAATAATTACATTAATGAATGTGCCTATTTCATGCAATCTTCCAAAAGATGCTTCCACAATGTCTTCTTTTCCAATGCATGTGTTCAATTCAAATACTTCTTCTGTTGTTATGTGATCATAGAAATTTTCAGTATAAAAATGTGATTATTTAAAAATAATGGAAAGATGCATCCCTTTTCACCATAGGGACCAACAAATTCAATGTGCATGCGGTGAGGTCTACTCTGACCAAGAGATATGCATAGAAGTCCAATGGAGCACAGCACGAGGTCTCGTTTAATCATTTCAAGCAACTGCTCTTTTGTTTACTACTATTTATGATGATTTGTGGACTATTCTCTGCTTATGAATTGTGACAAACTTGAATTCTTTATCTTGAATTAAGAAACTTCCTTCTTCTTGTAGCATTACTTTAATTCTTTCCTTTGAAGTTAACAACTTCAAAGTCATAAAAGTTGCGACTTGTCAGTAGGCTTTTGGTCCTTTGAAAAAAAGAAAAAGAAAAGGGGCTTTGGTCTATTCCCAGTTGGATAAGTAGACGCCAGCTTTTGAATGGTCCTGGTTGGATATATAACCATCATATTGTCCTAGAAGAAACTATAATAGTTCAATACTTCCACCACAAAAGTAACTGCAAAATATATCATAAAACTCTTTGGTTGTTCATGTATCAATTCACCCTTTATTTAATTGTGTTAAATTGTTAAGATTCTCCCACTTGATCCTTCATTCAACACCTACGATGGTTCTGTGACGTGTGGCCTTGAGCAAGAAAAAATTTTGTCTCGCCCTAATACATCTATATCTATATGTATCGCAGAGTGAGTTT